CAAGACCTCCACTGCACTCACTTCTCTCAAGACTTTCATTATTACCTGGAATATCATTTGAAACTCCAGATTGGAACCTGTGTGTGATTGGCCTTATTCTTCCCTTTATTTTCTCTTTTTGATTCTAGATTTTCTTCTATTTTGTTTCCCTGTTGTTTCTCTTATTAATTTGCAAAGTGCTACATTTCTTTGACAAAGCTTTTAAGAGCTAAAAGCTAGGGTATTTATTTCATTCCATTGTGGAATAATTGTAACTTGTCTTTTGAACTCTAGTTTCTTGACTTATTTACAGATTTTATCCATTCCTTGTGCATTGCGGGATATGTACTGCATTCTCTGTGCTTGTGTCACAGGGCGAAGACAATCAAGAATGTGGTGACAGTGAACGAGGAACTTACAGCCGAGGAATGGAAAAGACGATATGAAAGGGAGAGGGATAAAGTGAGTCGGCTGCGGGCTCAACTGGATCGCATGCAGGCAGAATTGTCCAGGTGGCGCGGTGGTGAGACTGTCTCTGCAGATGAACAGGTCAATCTGAAGGAAGCCTTCCAGGAGGCTAATGCTACCACTCCTGGTGCTGCTGGAGATATTATACCTGGCTCTTTCCCCAATGGTGACCCACTTTCAACCATATTCTTTTGAATTGAGTAGTTCCTTGGTTTGGATTTTCTAATGTGATGTTGATGAAGCATGGTTCTAAAACCCAAGGATGATGCAAAAAAAACTAATATGTAAAATTAAAAAAGAACTGATGTTCTAAGGGCCACTTAACTTATTTTCTTGAGGGCCACGATTTCTACTGGACATATTATATGTCATGTTACTAATCGGGGTAGGAACTACTAAATGAAGGTGCAAGATGGAATAGTGAGAGAGACTGGAGGGAGTCTTCAGGTAGGGACTCTAATGCAGGTATGCAGCTAATGCCCCTTGTTTGCTGGAAGGTTTTCCACCTTTGGGGACTTTCTCACAGAAAGTTTAGTGCTAAACTAAAATCATCATTGTTTGGTACTGAATGTTTCAGAGAAATAAAATCCAGGATAGTCCCATGCTGACTTCAAATGAGTAGAATTTCTTTGAAGAAGCTCGATTTTTTGGGAAAGTGTATTCCTCATCAGAAATAAGATGTTCAAGTCTTGAATGCTTTGAAAAAATTTTTCCTACTTTATGAGAATGATACGGGAGTTCTGAAGGAAGCATTTAGGGGAAACTTTTTTAACTTGTATGACAAGCCATGGACAATCTACAGACCTATCAAGAGATCATTACATTGTTCCCACAAGTCATTGATAAGAAGGAATCTGAGGGAAAATCTAACTAATACTCTACTCTGCCTTGTTAAATCAACTGAGATCATATGCAAGACACGGAAGGCAAGGAAATGATGTAATTCTTGTGTCTCTCTCATGCAGTGGGTGTTAGCTGCATGTCCCCATGATAGACTGTCATAGAGACATGCTGCCAAGTTCCATATTCTTTGGGTTCATGCATTTTGCATAAATATTTTTCTTTGATCTAAACAGCCCTGCCACCTGCTCCACCTGTGCCAGTAGTGGCTGTTTCTGCCCTGTCTGGAGACGAACGGCTAACATTTGAAGAGGAGAGGGAACGACTATACAAGCAACTGGATGATAAGGATGAGGAAATCAACCAGATGTCTCAAATGATTGAAAAGCTCAAAGA